AATGGCTAGTGGAAATGGAACGTCGCGGGTTGAAGGTCCGGATGGGTGCGCGGCGCAGGGGCGTGGTCTCATCGACGGCGTCATCATCGTCCACGGCGACGCTATTGCGACCATTGTGGAGGTCATCGTCCTCCTCGAATTCGAGAGTCTCCTCCAAAAAGAAAGCGCCCTGCAAGACGGCCAGGGAGATTGCTGCCATGGACACGAGATTCGGAAGCAAGTAGGGATTCCGGCCGAAAATGCCATCCTCAGAGAAGACCGAAGGGTAGTAGACGGCGGGTTGGGCGAGGAAACCGCCCATGGCAGAGCCAATAATGCCGCCCAGTGTCCATACGAAGGGTTGGACGGCGTAGGCCTTGGCTGTTTCCCCAACAAAAAAAAATCAGTACGCTGTCGTTCGCCGCAATTTGCGCCGATAATTACACCGGCATAGAGAGAGAGAGAAAGAGGGAGACTCACGCTCATGGTCGGGATTTTTGACCATTTCTGCCACCATGGTCTGCATAACGGAAACGTTGCCGTTGAGAGCGCCACCAACAAAACGGGCGAGTAGGGCAACCCAATACGTCTTTGCGAAACCAAAAATCAGACTCGAGATGGCGACACCGACGAGACCAAATAGCACGACTGGTTTGCGACCAATGCGATCGGACAGGGTTCCCCATCCCATTGAGGTGATGGCCTCGGCGACGGCGTATGCGGAGATCAAAAGACCAGCGTAGAAACCGGCGTCTTCCTCCATGCCGAGATCCTTGACCATCTTATAGGTGTAGGCCAAGATCGAATTGAAGGCGATGGGCTCGGAGAATCGACATATCGCTATATGTTTGTGACGCGCGCGTTAGCCCACAGTCGCAGTGTGTTCCATTGAATGGCACTGGACAGCGCTGATAAGAAGAAGAGATTCCTTATCTGAGTTTGTCGAGAATGAGACGGAGGGGAAAGTTGGAAGAGAGAGGATGGGGATGGGCGTACCGAGAACGGCCAGCTGGCGCGTAGGAAATGCTTTGGGGTCTTTTCGTTTTGATGGAGCCATGGTGTGGTATCGTAGGTATCGTGAGAGTCTCCTTTGTCTGGATGTCTTGGTGTTTCTCCTACACTTCTCAGAGGTTGGAATGTTGGAGAGAGTAAGGTACGCAGAGTAAGGTTATGGGAGGAAAAGAAGAAAGAGGATCGGGATGACGATTTTGGCACCATGTAAATTACTGCGGGGTCGTGGAGAGAGGTTGGGGCCTTCCTTGGGGTGGGCTCTTGGCCTTTACAAGCTTGGGGGGCAGCTCAAGCCGCAAATCGCAGGGCAATGGGGAAGTAATGGCCTGGGGAGTGATAAATGGGGGTCAATGGAGGCAATAGGGGAGGCTTGGGAAAGGCAAGTAATTCCCGTCCGCTACTCGGTACATAATACGCAGTAACGCAGGCAGGTGGAGGGCAGTAGTGACTTGCCTTAGCAGCAGCAACTGCAGCAAGCACAGCGGGCAAGAAATAACGGCATTGGCGGCCCGCGACACCGCCCCACCAAAATGCATGCACCTCACCGCCTGACCGGTTCATGATCGGCGCTTGACCGTTGGCCACACACGTGCAAGCAGCAAGAAGCATCTCATCATCCTTACAGTAACAAGATCCTAACACACGCAGACCGAATACTTATCCCCTTCTTTGCCTCCCCACGTTCATCATCCCGATATCCATGCATGAGGTGTCGTCATGTTGGTGAAGCCTTGGAGATCCATCCGGCACGGCCACGTACAGTTAGTTGTCCTCAGTGGATAGGTATTTATTGTCCAAACCTCAGAACTTGGGGTAAGTAAACATTGAGTTTCCTTTGAGACCCCCGAACCAGAGAGCAAGACATGGCGGATTCGGAACTTAATCTGGGGAACTTGACTCAGGTCAGTGCACCCCGTAGTCTTATCCGTAGTGTAACCGTCGCACTTGGCGGTTATTGAAATACCTGCCGCTGCCGCCGCCCGCTTGAGGTGAGGTCATGCACCGTGATACCTACACCTACTTTGCTCCTGTACTTAGCGACACCACAGTTGATGATCTCATCCTGCAATTCGAATTCGCCCCCATTTCGAGCACCCATACATCATAACATAGCTCGCCTCAGTCGCCTCCACCACCCATTAGGTAGCAAAACCAATTGACCGACTTGATGTTAGCGCAAGCTCCTTGTCCCTTAGTTGACATGGACTAGCAATGAGGCTCGTCTCACGACAAAAGTAGTGCGACGCTCGGGACTGCCCTTTTTTTTGTCCTGCTCGAATCCGGCCTACCTTGGACAACGACAGGCCGGTCAACCACGGTAGGTAGTAAAGCAAAAAAGCCTCAAATTCGAGTCTGCAATTGTGCCACTTTTCTTTTGTGTAAATTTCCGGAGCCGAACCTCCTGCCGTTTGGGGTCTACCTCACCTTCCAACATGCTTAGGTTGACTGCCCGCACCTTGGAGCCTCCTTCTTGGACCTGCCAATTTGGAGGAGTTGGAGATCTCAGAACTGGCGGTGTGCTCACAATCTCACCAACTCCCCATCCCACAGGCAATCTCAATCTAAATCTACCTTGACTCCAAATTTAGCTTCCGAGCAATTGACCGCGCTAAATCTCAATCCAACTTACCTTAGACAGCTTAGGTCTGACATCGTCATGTTCTTGGACACCCTCCCCTGAAATCAACGCCATCATCTACCCAGTACTTAGTGCTCAGTTTTCATTCAGCCAAGCGCGACGCGCCTTTTCTCCCCTCCAGCCAGATATTTCCCATATCAAAAGTGCTTACACCCCCGAAGCCGATTTAAGCCTGAGACACCACCGAGTCGTTTTCCCTGTTCTCTAGCAAACTGCCACAAGTTCTTTTGAGCTCATCACGATGTGAAAGCCACAGGCTTTCCGGGCCTGGGAAGCTCATGCCTCGCCTTCCATAGCGATTCAGATTACCCATCAACAAGTAAAGCCAGTGGATTCATGCGCGCTCTCTTGAGAGACGCAAGAGTCACCTCATTAGTATCTGTGTTCATCGCACATGAATTCGTTTCCCAGCCCAGTGTTTCACCGCTCATCACGTTGCAGCATAGTATACAACATTCTGTCCTTCCAAGCGACCTAAATGAGAAGGCCAGCGTCATTGCTAGCTGTGAATGGGCCTTCAGGCTCATTCATATGTCCGCGACCTGAGTGGCTTTCAAGTTCCATCGTCTGTGTTCTTTGGAACTCGTAGACTGGGACACGACTCTGGGCTGGACGCGGACCCGAGAAGAAGGAGTGTGGAATTCAATGAGCAAGCGATCAAGATATATGTTAAGGTCTCATTACTCTCCCAAGTCTGCCTTTATCGTCGCGGCTGTTTTCCCATTACCTGACATTAGATGAACACATCGAAGCACCGAAGCAGGTAGACAGGTAAGCAACCTCCCGCGTGCTCCCGCCCAAAGGCCATACATACTTGGGGCGCCATCAGGAAACAGACCCTAGGGCCCCCTTCTTGAGCCTCAAGAAGAATATACCCTCGCATCGCGTTAAGAAGGGTATGTACCAAAAGATACGAATGGAGCCCGGATCGTTCCAGGCATGATTCCCTTGAGTCAACACAACGAGTATCTGGTAACTATTGTTCAAGCACTGATTCCTACATTTCTTCTGCGGTTTTTGCCAAAGACTGGACAAGGGTGCTGCCCCGATCTTGAAAGGTTTAAAGGTTTGCGTCGATGGATGGATATTCTGAGCCGTCATCTGGACCTAGAATGGTTCGTCCCCAGTGAACCCCTTGACGGCGGACGCGCGCCGCTAGGCAGGGGCCCAGGGTGTTGGTGGGACAGATGGATAACGCGGGGAAGCAAGGGTCTGGGACGTTGACGGTGACTCTTCAAAACCCCAGTCAAATCTTCTCGAGAGCTTGGAAGAGGTCTCGTCTATATTGGAGTGTGCTATCCTAGACTTCACCTTGAAGCTTGAGAAGATAAAGAGGATCTAGTTTTAGTGGAACAGATGTTGAAATGATTCTCGAATCCCTTCAGTTCCAAGCAATGAAGAGTCGCAATTTCATGGACTCGTCTCGATGATAAGCTTTGCTCTTCGTCGAACGTAGATGTGTAACATGAGAGCCCCATCGCCTACTTTACGGTCCCTGCTTTATTACCTGTCTCTATCCTTCGTCACCGAGTGATGGGTCCCCTTACTCCTTTGGTACATTTGACCTTACCAACGCCCAATCCCTACATCGGCTGTGTCGTTACACTGTCTTTTGGAAAGCGTTTACCTGCCGATGTAATCAAGAAGCAACTATTCTATTGAAGCAATGCCTAGATGCACACGTCTAACCCAAACCTTGCTCCCCGCTGTGCCCTTGTTGAGGGAGTTCATGAGCACAAAAGCCGGTATAACAATGGCCGACCTAGCACAAACCTTGCCGCTTCCAAACCACGACCAAACATCCTCCATGGTCTATTACCTGTGACCAGAGCCTTCTACTGTCGCCAAAGAAAGACTTAAGGCTTCGCTGCATGGTTGGGATTTGAGTCACTCGACTCTCTGTCACCTCGGATTCCGAACTCTATCGTACTCAGTCCAATGTTGTGCTGGATTTCCCAATGTTTGTGTCCTCGAACTACTTTTCACTACCGTCTGTATCCCCATGGAAAAGGGAGAAAAAGATTAGCAAGTCTCTTGTGTTCTGTTCGAGAGAACCAAGAAACCTCACTGGTATTTGTAAGGGCGTCTGCCGAGTTTAGCTTGCTGCCAAAGTCCAGAACAGAACTCCTCAACACCAAAGATTGTGAACCCACGAAAGTATCTCTCGATGAAGACCTTTGATTATGGCGAAGACACCGGAATCCAAAGATTCTGACTATGAAGCCAAGTTGTGAATGCTCACCTCAAAGTACAATAATTAGATCTAGCTCTATTGCTTTCCTCCCATTCATTGCAGTTCACATCCAAGCGAGCACACAATCAACAGACATGGGAATCGCAACGAGTCCGAAACTCAACCGATTAGAGCCCGATGACCTCTCCATCGAACCACCTCTCTCAAACATCTGCCGACGCGCTCCCCACAAGGTCTCCGTGCTGTCCTTCATGGAGGACCTCTCACTCTTCGCCATGCTGACCATCACCGCCAACGCCCTCGCCCTCGCAAAGGACGACCTCGCTATCAACCTCACCATAGGCCCTCGCCTCCCACGCCCACTACGCCCTGGGGCGGCTCCGCGTTCCGGGCCGAGCGCGCGCTCAACGAGCTCGCCCACGTCGCAGCCGAGACCGTTTCGCGCCGTGCCACGGAGGCTGAGGGGGTTTGGCGCGATAGGAAGATCATCGGCAGCCGTGCTGGAAGGGCGATGTTGAGGCCGAGGCATTTTGCACCGGCCACAAGCAGGCCTGCTGAACGCGCTCGGCTGATCCAGCGCATTGAAGGCTTCTCGCGGTCTGAAGGCCACGAAGACTGCTGCTCGCGACCTGCTCGTGGCCGTTGCCTAGAGGTATGTATGCTTGAGATTCGCTATCTCGTTGATATGAGACGTCTGACCGACCAGATTTCCACAGCAACTACTGCCGAATCTTCACATCAACTTTGATGAAGCCAATTTTCTTCCCTCGCATGTAAATCTTTCAAATCTTTGCCATCGAGCCGGCATCCAAGGCGATGTCGACAAAGCAAGAGGTGGACAAAAACGACAATAACCTGAACACGAAAACAAATATAGACTCCCATTGATTCCTCTTCTCGTAACAGGCTACTTGCCGCCGATGAGACTCAGGATATCGTCTTTTGTTTCAAAATGGTATAGGCGATGGAGGAAAGGACCTCTCGACGCCTTTTGCATATGTTTAATAGTGGTCGGGCCTCAAGTTGTACGCTCCCCGTCTCCGCGAGATGACAAGGGGTAGACAGTCGGTACCTATATGATTGAGACGCTCGTCTCGGTGAAGGAGCAATGGATTCCCGAGAATGGGCATCATATCTTGTCTGCCAGCAACGTAAAGTGCCGGCTGGCTAGTGCGGATTGTCCAGCATCTCCATGATGTTTTGCGAGGCCCATACCGAGTTTCATAGAGATGGGTTCGAGCAACCTCTACGACAAGATCAACACTCGAGTCAAGAAAGAGCGGATGCTATATCTTGCGTTGAGCACATGGACGACAGCAGAGCCAGAGCTTGAGCTGTGACGGCACTGAATGTGACAAGATTCCAGGATCTGAAAAACCTGATAAGCCGGTGCATTTCACATGGGCCATGCTACAAGGCAGGCAATTCTACTCATCAAGAGTGACCATCAAGTATTTACGATGGGCGAATGTATGTACGCTCAATCATTGCGGTCCCCCTCACGTGCCCGTAGGCCGAGGGGCACCGCACCCAAGATTGTTCGCTTCCTTCTCCATTTCGATCTCCGTGTCCGATGGTCCTGGGTCCAGCAGAAGAGCGAACCTCTCAACAGACATTTGTTTTCACGAGAACATGAATGTTTTATTTTGCGTTGTTCAATAATGAAGAAGAAAGGAGGAAAACAGAGTAAAGATGCGCTGCGTAGGCCGCGTTTTGTAGTGCGCCGCAAGAATTTTTTGGCAGGGTCCGTGCCTCAGGCAGCCAATCAACTCAACCCGACTGGACGACCCAAATGGGCGGGCACGAGGAAGACTGGGAATGAAAGGAAAGAAGGGTCCTTCCTTTGCGGTGCCCCCCTGCCTTCCAAGTGTTTGACAACCGCGGCCGGTCTTCGGCAAGCTGCGCTCCCCAGTGGGTCAGCTGCAACGACATGCCGTCACTGGGTGCTAGTCATTCCCAATCTCCCGCCCGTGCTGCTAGCACCAAGATAATCTCCCCTGGGATTGGGAATTGGAGATTGCTTCTCCAAACACCAACACAACAAAATCACACATACACACAAGATGGCCAAACCGACAGCAATGGCCGTAGACGCCCTTCCGAGGTTCCTGCTTCCTAGACTCAGCTGGACTGGTCCTGCGACAGCATCCCAAGCCCTACGGCCTGTTTCGGCACTCCCTCCGAGCTCGCGCCGTCGGATGCACACCCGAACCAGTGCTTTCCACGATTCGAACTTACCATCCAGATGCCGCAGCAATGGCTTCAAGACCGAGCGCGCCTCGATGCTGGCGAGCTCGGGCCTCACGAGGTCCTTCCATGCGACTCCTTCAAGGCAAAGAGACCACCACTTTGATACCTTGAAGTTCGTCCAGCGGATGAAGAGCGAGGGCTTCACGGAAGTGCAGGCCGAGGCCACGATGAAGGTCCTGAACGATGTAATACAAGAAAGGCATGCGACAGCGCCCTTATTTAGCATATTTATCCCTTCTAACAGCAGAGCAGCATACAGAACCTCACCCGAACCATGGTCCTCCGCGAAGACGCCGCCAAGGCAACCTACACCCAAAAGGTCGACTTTGCCAAGCTGCGCTCCGAACTCCTGTCCGCCGATAGCACCGAGTCGAGCACGACGCGCGCGTCCCACGAGAAGCTCGGCAACGACATTGCGAAGCTGAGCTCCCGGCTGCGCGACGAGATCGGCAGGACGCAGGCCAGTGTCCGCCTGGATCTGAACCTGGAGAAGGGTCGCATCCGCGAGGAGGCTGTCGGCCAGGAGCTCAAGATCAAGGAGACAGAAACAAAGATTGAGCAGGAGGTGGCGGCGCTGCGCGAGAAGCTTGAGCAGGTCAAGTTCCAGACGCTGCAGTGGCTGATGGGAGTGTGTACCGGTTTCGCCGCTCTGCTTCTTGGTGCCTGGAGGTTGCTCATGTAAACGGACCCAACCCCTGGGCTCGGCGTTGGCGCATTGTCCCACATCGCTGGCGGCGTTTCCAGAGTCAAGTGGAATATGCCAATGCACTTTGAGAATGCAAAATGCAGTATCCACGTAAGAGGACTTTCATCCCATCTTACCTTTGTTCGCAGCTGCCCTGCGTTGAATACGCGCGACATTTATCCAAACGGGCCGCTGCCTTGTGGTACGCAGATCCCAGGTCTCATGACCAGGCAGCTTGTCTCGAATATTGTAAGAAAGTCCTTATATGCACTTGCCAGATAGAGGATTGGGTACGAAACCCTCCAGTAAAATGAGTTCACCATCATATAAGACATTTCTCCCGAATCACACTTTGCTTCCGCCGAAACCTCTCTTCTAGCTTCTTCCAAACCCCCGTTTTCTCTACCCCGTTTACCCATCCACATCTCCCGAGCATTGAATATGTCAGCATCACCAAGATCCCAAGATGAATCCCACTATGGTTTTTCCATCTTTCCCTCGTGCCTTTCGATGATTCTGTAGAGATCACATCAGTCATGCCTCCCAATCCTGTGAATCGAGCAGCACCATCAACGATATGGATATAGAACCTGAAGACCCGACGACCTACAGCTGGGCCTTCGGCGCGTACGAGAGGGTTGGCCCGGATACAGGGGCTTTGAAGCTCAGCGGAGCTTCTTTTGACGTCAAGGTAAGTCTCTCCCGCTAGTTTTCATATAGAAATCGCGTCTGACTCGCTTCGTAGACGTCTCCCGGTCATATGGAGAACACATACGTTGGTCACCTCTCATGGCTAGTGCAAGTCGATCTCATATATGGAATACCTTAGTCGCGTGTCAACTGATGTTTCTCAAGATCTTGGTTTCCGCATAATGCCGAGCACCTCACAATCTACTTCATGTCAGCTACGGAGAGAATTCGTTTTTCTATTCCGGAACCCATCGTTGCACAGAATTTTCGTAACTTTCCCATTTTTAGCCTAGGACGAGACCCTTGGAAGAAGGAACAGCCGCTGCCTCGCGAGTACGAGTTTCTAAGTGAAGATGCTGATGCCTCTGGCCTCATCATGAGCTTCCTCATGACGGGAACCTTCCCTAAACATCCGCATGCCAGTGTTCGATCGGCGTCCGACATGACTACCGAATTCATCTACGCCGGCGAATTGTCATTTAAGCTCGGTCTTCGCTGTATCTCTTCACTTGCGACAGTTGCTGCTAGAGGACCGAACAGCGCTGCTCGAAAGGCACATTACAAGCCTGTACAAACTCCTTGCCCGGCGTAAACTTTGCGCCCTTTGGGGGTTCAGACAGATGTTTGCGCAGGCAATGGTCAAGCTTGGTTGCGTCACTTGGACATCAGCCCAGTCGAGCCCGTGGACCTTTGCCCAGGCTCCGCCAAATTTGACACCATATGGGATGGTGATGACCCGGAGGAGTGGTCGATTATCGTCAAACATTGCCTTGGCCTTATAGGCCAGAGCGAACGTTTCAAAGCCGATGTTAGGTGGTACATGATCCAGACACTTGAAAATAGAACGAAGTTCAGCTCGGTTATCGCAGGTGAGTTGAGTTCGTTATCCTCAAAAATCTACCAGGCTCTAATAGCACCATCGACTACAGGCATCCCGCCACCCTGTTACTCTACTAATCCCGGGCAGCCCACTCCCACCTGTCACTTGGAGCTTTGTCACTTGGAGCTTTGTCACCTACCGCTACAGTGATCCCCTCGTACCTGCTGGAAGCAAAGTGAAGGCTCAACGCTTTACTACGACGGAACTTTCGCGAAGTGGCTGACCCCGGTCTAGTGACGGTCCTGACCAACCTCGGTTTGCTCTATGGTTCGGGCACATGATTTTGCTGTGAAGTACCGTTCATTCATAAAGATGCCGACAAAATCGTAGTCGGCATGGCAATTTGAGATACGAGTCATCAATTGAGCTTGGAGTCGAGATGTTCCGCAAAGAAAGGGCGGATGGTGAATTGCGTGGAGTTTGCGAATGTGACAGAATTCTTGCAAGATGATTGAGATCTGTGCAAGTAGGTTTCATGACTTTGAATACCACATCTACAGACTTCTCGCACTCCCTTGCCTTGTGTGCCTAGTACATCAGTACTCATTACCTTGCCATACTGCGTATGTGTTCATGATCCGGGACCCAAAAAAGGCTCACGGGCTAAGGTAGGCTGGTCGGGTCGCCGGACACGGGAGGTGATTAGTCGCTTATGTCATCCCGCATCCGGTCAAACATGCCTCCGGTCGGGAACCTGGAAACGGACACCATAGCAAGATAGCCACGTGACAGGCCCATGGCCATCCAGCCAGTGAAAGTTGAAGAGACAAGTGCACGGTCCAGATGGGTGGATACTTGGCTGAAGACAGCAAAGACCGGCAGGAGCAAGCAAGCCTGGCACGCCTGCCAGCAAGGCAAGCAGTGAGGGTGGAAAGCTGGCAGCAAACCACAGACTTTAGGCGTCGCGCACCTGGCTCAGTGCGCAACAACCTGGCACTGGACTGGCAGGAACGAACCGAACAGGCAACGTAAGGTACTGCACCTAAAATAATCTCCAACCTTCCACCTCACCACAAGCGAACTACGTATCCCGTACCCATCTTTCCCATTCCCATTCCTCCCACCACCACCACCACCGCCGCCCCAAACAAAACACCACCATCACCGTTTGCCCAGCAGATTGTCATCACTGCGAGGTGCATCGTTACCCCGTCTTTACGTCTCCTCTTTACCGCTCTTTGTTTCCCTGTATTAATTGCCTTGTGCGCATTCAGTCGGGTCGCAAGGAAGCTATCCCCAGCTCCTACTCCTTTCTCTCCCAAATACACGACATCCACGTCGCCGTATCCACGAAATCCCGCGACACCCGATCAGCTGCGCGATACGAATCCGCGAACTGACACCACCCAGCTAAGGAGCGCAACTTGGTCTCTGGAAGCTTCTTGTCACACATAACGCCAGTCATGGCGCCACTACCGATCAAGTTCCAGGAGCTGATCCAGCTTCAGACTGCCGGTGTCGAGGACGCTTCCATCGGCTTCAACTCCTGCGTGAGCCATCACCGCCCGACCATCTCCCTACTCAATGGCATCATCATGACTGACTTGTTCTCTTCCAGACACTCGAGTCAGACTCTTATGTCTGTATTCGGGAAAAGAAGAACGAAGCTGCCCAACCCGAAGTTGTCATCGTCGATCTCAAGAACGGCAACAATGTCACACGGCGCCCCATCAAGGCCGACAGTGCCATCATGCACTGGACTCGTCAAGTCATCGCCCTCAAGGCGCAATCGAGAACACTGCAGATCTTCGATCTTGAGAAGAAGGCGAAACTCAAGTCTACCACAATGAACGAGGACGTCCAGTACTGGAAGTGGATCAGCGAGACCACTTTGGGCCTGGTTACAGATTCAGCAGTCTACCATTGGGACGTCTACGACCCCAGTCAGGCCCAGCCTGTCGAGGTCTTCAAGCGCAATGCTAACCTCAACGTGAGTGCAATGCTTCCTCTATCCTCCGCATGTCACCGAACTGTCTACTAAATACTATCAACCAGGGTTGCCAAATCATCAACTACCGAACCAACGCCGAGGGCAAGTGGATGGTGGTTGTTGGTATCTCGCAACAGCAGGGCCGCGTCGTTGGCGCTATGCAGCTGTACTCCAAGGACCGTGGCATCAGCCAGGCCATTGAGGGTCACGCTGCGGCCTTCGGCTCGCTGCGCCTGGAGGGTGCTCCTGCTGACACCAAGCTCTTCACCTTTGCTGTGAGAACCGCTACTGGCGCGAAGCTTCACATCGTCGAGGTCGACCACGCCGAGTCAAACCCCGTATTCCAGAAGAAGGCCGTCGACATCTTCTTCCCCCCCGAAGCCGTCAGCGATTTCCCCGTGGCTATGCAGGTGTCGCAGAAGTACGGTGTCATTTTCATGGTCACCAAGTACGGATTCATCCACGTCTACGACCTCGAGACCGCCGCCTGCATCTTCATGAACCGAATTTCCAGCGATACCATTTTCACCACCTGCCCCGACAACGAGTCTCGCGGTATTGTGGGCATCAACCGCAAGGGTCAAGTGCTCTTCGTTTCGATCGACGACGCCAACGTTATCCCCTACCTCCTTCAGAACCCGGCCAACACCGATATGGCTATCAAGATGGCATCACGAGCTGGCCTCCCCGGTGCTGATAATCTGTATGCTCGTCAATTCGAGCAGCTCTTCAACAGCGGTCAGTTCATGGATGCTGCCAAGATCGCGGCCAACTCTCCCCGACAATTCCTTCGAACCGCCGAGACGATCGAGAGATTCAAGTCGCTCCCCCAGCAACCTGGTCAAATGTCCTTTGTCCTGCAATACTTTGGCCTCTTGCTCGACAAGGGAGCCCTGAACGAGCACGAGTCTATTGAGCTTGCACAGCCCGTTCTCGCTCAAAACCGTCTCAACCTGTTGGAGAAATGGCAAAAGGAGGGCAAGTTGACTGCGTCCGAGAGACTCGGTGACCTTGTCCGCCCTCACGACCTGAACATGGCTCTCACTCTTTATCTCAAGGCCAACATCCCTCACAAGGTTGTTGCTGGCTTTGCCGAGACGGGTCAATTCGAGAAGATCCTGCCCTATGCCACCCAGGCCAACTACCAACCCGACTACGTCCAACTCCTCCAGCACATCGTTCGTGTCAACCCGGAGAAGGGTGCAGAGTTCGCCACAGCCTTGGCTAACAACGAGGGCGGTTCCCTAGTCGATATCGAGAGAGTGGTCGACATCTTCCAGTCTCAGGGCATGATCCAGCAAGCTACGGCTTTCTTGCTTGATGCGCTCAAGGATAACAGACCTGACCAGGGTCACCTTCAGACTCGTCTCTTGGAGATGAACTTGATGAATGCTCCCCAGGTTGCCGATGCTATCCTTGGAAATGACATGTTCTCTCACTTTGATAAGACTCGCATCGCGACACTTTGTGAACAGGCCGGTTTGGCCCAAAAGGCATTGGAGCTCTACGAGGACCCCGCTGCCGTCAAGCGTGTCGTTATCAACATTGCCGCCACCCCCAACTTCAACATCGACTGGTTGACCGGCTTCTTTGGCAAGCTGTCCGTTGAGCAATCTCTGGACTGCTTGGATGCCATGATCAAGCACAACATCCGCCAGAACCTGCAAGCGGTGGTCCAGATCGCCACTAAGTACTCCGACTTGCTGGGTCCCGTGCGCCTGATTGATCTCTTCGAGAAGTACAAGACTGCTGAGGGTCTCTTCTACTACCTTGGCAGCATTGTCAACCTTTCAGAGGACCCCGATGTTCACTTCAAGTACATTGAGTCTGCTACCAAGATGGGCCAGTTCAACGAGGTTGAGCGTATCTGCAGAGACAGCAACTACTACAACGCCGAGAAGGTCAAGAACTTCCTCAAGGAAGCCAGACTTCAGGAGCAGCTGCCTCTTATCATCGTCTGCGACAGATTCAACTTCGTCCACGACTTGGTTCTCTACCTGTACCAGCAGCAGCAGTTCCAGTCCATCGAGACTTACGTCCAGCGTGTCAACCCCAGTCGGACTCCCGCCGTCATCGGTGGTCTGTTGGATGTTGACTGCGATGAGAGCATCATCAAGAACTTGCTGTCGACCGTCAACCCCGCCTCTATCCCCATCGATGAGCTCGTGTCCGAGGTTGAGTCTCGCAACCGTCTCAAGCTTCTTCTCCCCTTCCTCGAGGCTACTCTTGCTGCCGGCAACCAGCAGCAGGCCGTGTTCAATGCTCTTGCCAAGATCTATATTGACTCGAACAACAACCCTGAGAAGTTCCTCAAGGAGAACGACCAGTATGACACCCTCAGCGTCGGTAAATACTGTGAGAAGCGTGACCCCAACTTAGCCTTCATCGCCTACTCCAAGGGTCAGAATGACCTTGAGCTCGTCAACATTACCAACGAGAACGGCATGTACCGCAACCAAGCTCGATACCTGCTCGAGCGGGCTGACCGCGAGCTGTGGACCTTCGTCCTCAGCGAGAACAACATTCATCGCCGTTCCGTGATTGACCAAGTGACCGCCACCGCGGTTCCCGAGTCCACTGATCCCTCCAAGGTCTCCGAGGCTGTTGCCGCCTTCCTTGCCTGCGATCTTCCTCTTGAGCTCATTGAGCTGCTTGAGAAGATTGTTCTCGAGCCGTCACCTTTCAGTGATAACACCAACCTTCAGAACTTGCTTCTGTTCACCGCTGCCAAGGCCGACAAGGGTAAAGTTATGGACTACATCCACCGTATGGACAACTTCAGCGCGCCGGACATTGCATCAGCCTGTATCGACGTTGGTCTCCACGAGGAGGCCTTCGAGATCTTTAAGAAGACTGGTGACAAGACTTCCGCTGTTGATGTCTTGGTAGAGAACGTCGTTAGCATCGACCGTGCCCAAGCTTACGCCGAGGAGGTCGATTTGCCCGAGGTTTGGAGCAAGGTCGCCAAGGCTCAGCTTGATGGCCTGCGCGTCACTGACTCTATCGAGTCCTACATCAAGGCCGATGACCCCAAGAACTACGAGGAGGTTATCGAGACCGCTGCCCGCGCCGGCAAGGACCAGGATCTTATCAAGTACCTCCGCATGGCCAGAAAGACGCTGCGCGAGCCTGCCATCGACACTGCTCTCGCCTTCTGCTACGCTCGTCTGGATGAGCTCGGCGAGCTCGAGGACTTCCTTCGCGGTACCAACGTTGCCAACATCGAGGAGTCTGGTGACAAGGCGTATGAGCAAGGTCTGTACCAGGCCTCCAAGATCTTCTTCACCAGCATCTCCAACTGGGCCAAGCTGGCAACCACCCTCGTCCACCTTGAGGAGTACCAGGCTGCAGTTGAGTGCGCTCGCAAGGCCAACAACATCAAGGTCTGGAAGCAGGTTCACGAGGCCTGCGTTGAGAAGAAGGAGTTCCGTCTTGCCCAGATCTGCGGTCTCAACCTCATTGTTGACGCCGAGCAATTGCAGACCCTTGTCAAGCAGTACGAGCGCAACGGCTACTTCGATGAGCTCATTGGAGTCTTGGAGCAGGGTCTTGGCCTTGAGCGTGCCCACATGGGTATGTTCACCGAGCTTGGCATTGCCTTGTCCAAGTACCACCCTGAGCGCTTGATGGAGCATCTCAAGCTCTTCTGGAGCAGAATGAATCTGCCCAAGATCATCCGTGCTTGCGAAGAGGCGGCCCTCTGGCCCGAGCTGGTCTTCTGCTACTACCACTACGATGAATTCGACAACGCTGCTATGGCGGTCATTGAGCGCCCTGAGAACTCATGGGAGCACCAGCAGTTCAAGGAGATCGTCGTCAAGGTGGCCAACTTGGAGATTTACTACCGCGCCATCAACTTCTACCTCGAGCAGCACCCATCCCTGCTCACCGACCTCCTCCAGTCTCTTACTGCCCGTATTGACGTCAACCGTGTTGTCAAGATGTTCGAGAAGAGCGATAACCTGCCGCTCATTAAGCCTTTCCTCGTCAACGTCCAAACTCAGAACAAGCGCACCGTCAACAACGCCATCAACGACTTGTTGATCGAGGAGGAGGACTACAAGACCCTCCGCGACTCTGTGGAGAACTACGACAACTACGACCCCGTCGACCTTGCCTCTCGTCTGGAGAAGCACGACTTGATCTTCTTCCGCCAGATCGCTGCCAGCATCTACCGCAAGAACAAGCGCTGGGAGAAGTCCATTGCTCTCTCCAAGCAGGACAAGCTCTTCAAGGATGCCATCGAGACGGCTGCCATCTCAGGCAAGACTGATGTTGTGGAGGACTTGCTCCGCTACGTAAGTTGTTCTCATCCTACTTGACTACGCATTGAATACTAACACGTCACAGTTCGTCGACATTGGTAGCCGTGAGTGCTACGTCGGCATGCTCTACGCTTGCTACGAGCTCATCCGCCCCGACTTGGTCCTGGAGATCTCTTGGCGCAGCGGCCTTACCGATTTCG